ATGAAGGCGAGTCTGGAAGCCTGGGATGACGATGAATCGGACGAGCTGTTTTATATCGATCGGGCAAGATGGCGAGCTCAAAGGGCTAAGGTTCTAGCTGCCGAGTTGGCTGGGGACGCGAACTCTCGCAAGATCGAGGAACGAGAAGCCGAGCACTTGCGTCAGGAGTCCGAACGATTCCTCGCCCGTCAAATGGACGACCTTCGATCGCTTGCGGAGGAACAGCGGAAGGCGGGAATGCTGTTGGTTGGAGAGGAGTCGGGACCGCTGCGGTTGAACATGAGCATGGGTCTTGGAGGGGAGGGTTTGAAAGAAGCCTCGAAGGAGACACCGACAACTGCAGCCCCGGCGAATGCCATTCCCGAAAAGCGCGTTGCACCTGCAGTATTTGGCGATGTAGACGAGGAGGAGGAAGCCTTGGGCAGGAAGCGACGCAAGGGCCTCATCAAGCTCGACTTTGGTCTTGCAGATGGCGCCGAGGCCAGCAAGGAACGGTTGAACAAGCTCAAAGAAGGTATTAGTCGTGACAAGGATATTCTATTCAAGTTCAAGGTCCGATGGGAAGCTTTGAACGACGTGAGTGCCTGATCTTAGTAGCAGAGCTTCCGTTCTTGTCTCACACAGCGTCTTCAGCACCTCATTGACACCAAGTTCGAGCGAATCACCAAACGAAAGATGAAGGATTACCTTGGTGACCTCGAGGACGATGACTTGATTATGTTCGTTGTCGAGCATCTCAAGGATCACAAAGGGCCTCAAAAGTTGCTTGAAGGACTAGAATCGGTGAGCACCAAGTTCCCCACACTTAAATTCTCATGCTGACGTCGTTCGCTGTAGGTCCTGATGGAGGAAGCTGAAGAATTTGTCCTCCTCCTCTGGCGTCAAGTTGTGTTCGAAAGCGTGGCGTATGCAGAAGGGTTGGAAACGGAAGACATTGTGCTAGCTTGATGAGTCCAGACTCTACCCTGGCTAGCACTTTCATCCTTCTTCACTGCCCAAATCATAGGAAGCCGTTGGGTCTAGAGTTCAGACTCTCTACCTGCAGCAATGCTTTCACTCCGGATCTTGTACTTACTTAAACCTTCTGGGCGCTGTGCAAGTGAGTACCCACGTCGATTAGTCGTTTGCTTAATTTCCAGTGCTTTGTAACCGGGTGTCTCAATGGTTTTGGTGAGTGATCATCTGTTAAACTGCGTTATTTCATGACCAATCCCATGAGAACGTGTCGGCCAAATCCTTATGACCATCCACCACCGGCTATCGCTCCAAGTTTTGTTGCAAAGGTATCGTAATTCTAGTTCGCATCATCCTATGCCGAGTACATTACACCTACATTACCCCCCCAATATCAAGCTTTGCAGCAGTCTAGATGCATGACGTAGAGTCCCTTCGACCGCTCGAAACCATTCCCCCTCTCATTACATCACGACACAACACGAGTTTTGCTAGTTTAGAGCCGCTATTAGAAACAACGAACCATACTTGCATCCAGACCAGCTCACCTTCTTAGCAGTCTTATAGAACATCTTGCTCTGTGCGCTCAAAGCATTCGACCGATCTACCAGGTTATCCAGTTTCTCTCCTCGCTCCAACACAGACTCGATCGTCTTGTGCTACGGGTGGTGCGACACTTAGCTGCGGATCAGCATGCTTAGGTGACGGGCCTCACCAAAATGATCTTCGTCTCGTCAAGTTCTGCTTGGACCTTCATGATGTTGTCGGCTTGTTTCGGATCTTGGTATTTGGATAGATAAGTCGCCGTGGCAGGGAACGATATAGACGAAGGGTTGGACCATTGAGATTCGGGCACCGCAGTTGCAAACTCATCAAGGATCTTCGCCAAGAGAGAGAACGCCGGTCTGACAGGATAATCCTCGTCGGTGATCATGACAGCTTCGAGTGCAGAGTCCGCACAAATCGGTCAGCTTGCAGTGCAGAAAAGGGGGTCCACCTGACACCGAGAGCAAGCACTTACAGACAAGCTGCTCCGTTCCACCTCTATTATATGCGTGCGCCACGTAGGTTCCTTCTTGAACGCTCTGTCTCTGACCGGGTTTGGTGCGTTCTGCTACCGTCTTGGACATGAAGGTCATGAATTCGCCAACGCTGCCTCTTTGGTAGAATGAGAACGATGAAAGGTCGCTGGCCGAGGAAAGCGAGACGCCCTGGCCGGAGGCTGTCACATTGATGATAGCAAGTGAAAGAACCTTAACCATGGTGGAATGTCGTAGGTGTGGTGCTTAGGTGGGCGATGGCTGCAATGCTTGGTCGAGACTTGAACGTAGACAAACAAATGGGCAAAGCTTCTGGGCTTCTTTGACGAAACGCCCCTTGTCTCTTCACCGCCGACTTGTTCAAGATGAACCCCGTCGAAGCGCAAAGACACCGCCAACTTGTAGGCCTTCTGCGGAGCTCTGCGTCTCCTGCTGAAAAGGCGGCAGCCCTCAAGCAAACAAGTGATGTATTTGAGATATCTCATCTGGGCGTCAAGAAGTGGGAGGCCTTCAGAGATTTGGAGGTGTTCGATTCTCTGCTCGCGGCTGTGTCCAACATAGACTTACATCAGGTACGTCACTCTCCGACTAACTCGTCTGCCCGAATACTCATATCAAGAGTATGCTCGTCCAATTTCAGCCTTCGGCCATTACGCTGTTGGACGAGGCACTTGGTCGCCTGAAATTCCTCTTTGTCAACCCCTTGAGTGCGAAGCAAATCTTACTCAACCAACGAATGAGTAATTCAATAGCGAAATACATGCCACCGATCCTCGTCATCACGCATAGTGCTCTGAAGGTTGTACGCGGTACCCAAGACCTCAAGCTTTGGTCAATGCAACATTCTTTCATATCCATCTTAGGAGCAATTATTCCTTCTCAAGCTCTCAGAGACAAAAATCTGTATGTAATTGGTTTTTATGGTTGTTCTGACGACCTCTTCTGACAGACCTTTTCATCGTTCTTTGCCTAATAATTCAGCGTGAGCTCTCTCGACAGGAACAAAGTCCTTTCGATATTGTTTAGCACGTATATGGCCCCAAGCGTTGAGCATAGGGAACTACCTGCTCTGTCAGGGACCCGCGTCTTGTCGGCGTACTTCAAGGATGGCGATTTTCGCAACGAGGCGATCCACGAGATACTCCAGCATTCCGCACCCGAAGCGATCGCCCAAAGGTGTTGCGAACTTTTTGAGCGCAACGAGCTTAGTAGAGAGCCGATGTTCTTGGGCGCGATACACTTCATGCTAGGCGTCGCCGATTCTACAAAGATGCGCCGTCCGTTGATCGAGGCAAAGGTCCACCTAGCTATGGTCAAAAGATATTGGAGGTGGGTTGGAGAGAGGATAAGGCACGAAGAAGAGCTATGCCTGTTCGCTCGGAGCGTAATTGCAGCAACTGGCGCGTAAGCCTGATCCGCCGTCGAATCCAGGGGCGAGACTGAAAGTTCCCGGTCTTGAAGACTTTTACGTACTTTAGACGCAGAGGAATATGCGGAAATCAAAGCCCGGATGGTCAAAGAGATGATCCTCGACGATGACTCAGACCTAATGCTGGTCCTTGGGCGAACCTTACTGGGCCGCAGGAGCTTCGTCGCCGCAGGTTTGACAACTCCTCTCCATCTCTCCCACTCGAGAGTGAGACCTGATAATCCCGTCTTCCAGCCAGTGAAGTACGCCTTGTTGGCCAATGTATCAGAGATGCCGGGCTACGAACGCAAGAAATGGAAACAGCATACATGCACTGCTTCAAATGCCTTGACGAGGTTGTGTTCGCGGCACCATACAAGAAAGAGGAGGCTAGAGCACATTCTGCGATATTCCAAGACAATGAAAACCCTGACTATACTCCTGCGATACAAGGTTGGAAAGAGTTTGGGAAGCTGCTTGGATTCGATCGCAATGAATTTTTGCAAAAGGAAGCTCAAAGGCGTAGGGATGATATGAGCGGCCTCGAAGGGTGTAGCTGGTTTAGGTGTTGTTTGTACCGCGACACGCGAATAGCGCCTTCGCGAGCGATGATGAGATGTGCTGATTGCAAGTCGGTGAGTAAACGAGGGTTAACCTTGTGTCGAGGAAAGCGTCTCTAACACTGGTTTAGGTTCAGTATTGCAGCACTCGCTGCCAGAAGCTGTAAGTGGACTAGAGAGTGTTCGACAATGCTCCCATTGACAGGCTCTGCGAGCAGGGACTGGAAGGAGGGAGGGCACAAACTA